TCCATATGTAGAGTGTACTTCGCCACCGAGGCAGAAGACGTTGTGTTTTTGCCTGGCGTTTTGGGGCCTGGGTTCAAGTTGGAGATCCAGGATTCGGGATTTGGGGCTTTCAGGTGGCCAAACATTTTGGGCTGCCTTGCAGTTGGAAGATACTGGCAACAACATGCTCGAGAACGTCTTCAGGAATCTTGGAGGACTTTCGAACACATCTCTGTACTTCTAGGAAAGATTTGTTCTAGCATACCCACGTTTCTTGACAGCGGTGTGTTGAAGCCGGAGAGGGTCCTTTACATGTCCCAGAGTAAAAGCCATCATACATGAGCTTATCTCACATGCACTAACTTCATGGATCTTCGAGAATTAATTTGGCGAGGAAGAACTCGCAAAGTCCTGAACCCCGCTGGAAGTCGCCTCGGGGAGCGATGATTTTGGAACACCCTCGCAAATCCCACAGCATTAGGGTTTTCGCATCCTTTGCGGCATTCTTGCTGCAAGGTGTCGAGAGCGCCCAATCCCCACACAGTCCCTGGATGCTTCCAATACACATCCCACATCTCTACTCTAGATCTTCGGATCCTCCTAACCCCACCTTAGACTACCCCACGCCCATAACTCCCATTTTCTCAACCCCTAAATGCCCAAACCCGCAAACCCTCAACTCGCGGCCCCTTAGCCCCAGGCCCTAAAGCCAAAACCCCAAAAACCCTGAAACCCCAAAACCATGAGACCCCAAAACCCTAAGACCCCCAGAGCCTAAAAAACCTAAAGACCCTTATCCCTTAGACCCTAACCCTAAACCCTAAACCCTCAACCCTTAACCCCAAGCCCCAAACCCTAAACCCAAAATCTCGGGGTGCGGGCACCGATCCCAGAAGCTCCAGGGATGAGATGGTCTTCCGCCTGAGGCCTCTTGTGCCAAATCGTTGCTTTGAGGTTTTGGGTTTAGGGTTTAGGGTCTAGGGTTTGGGGTTCAGGGTTTGTTTTTTATCGGGTTTAGGGTTTTGGGTTTGGGGTTTAGGGTTTAGGGTTTGGGAGTTAGGGTTTAGGGTTTGGGGTTTGGGGTTTGGGTTTGGGGTTTAGGGTTTTGGGTTCTGGGCCTTGCCAAAATGATGGAAAAGAAAATGGAGGCCATTATAGTATAAAGGGGCCATATAGGGACAATGGAAAAGAAAATGGAAGCTACTATATCATACAGGGGTAAATATGGGGTAATATAGGGATAACGGAAAAGAAAATGGAAGCTACTATAGCATAGAGGGGTAAATCTGGGGAAATATCGGGATGATGGAAAGAAAATGGAAGCTACCATAGCATATTGGGGTAATTTAGGGACAATGGAAAAAAATGGAAGCTACTATAGCATATAGGGGTACGAAAAAAATCTTTGAGGGTTTCTAAGGGTTCAGAGGGTTTAGGTCTTCTAGGGTTTATAAGCGTTTAATAAGGGTTCATAGGGTTTAGGGCTTGTGGGTTTATGGGGTTTGCGATAGTGCGTAGGGTTTACGCCTTCTAGGGTTTTTAAGGTTTCTAAGGGTTTGTAGGGATTAGGGCTTATGTTCGGGGCATGGGGTTCATGGGGTGTTGGGTCAGGATTTAAAGTATAGGGTCTGCGGCGTCTACAGCTTAGGGTCAGGATTCAGTGGGTAAGGCTTGGGCTAGATTCATGTCATAGCCAAAAGCAACGTAATAAAATGTCATAAAAAAATGCTTACAATGCAGCGGCAATGGAGACAGTATAAGCGCATGTCATGGTTTAGAAGGTCTTTTGCTGTTGCAAGGTGTTGGGGTTCTGGAGCTCAAGGGCTTGAGTGATTGAGATGCTGAGCTTCAAGCTCAAAATCTCAGATCTTCAACAGCTTTTGAAGGTTCACACGTTCAGGACTTGAGAGTTTGGGGGGGGGTCAGGGTTCAGTTTTCGTTCCAAGGTTTATCGCTTCAGGGTCTTAGGCATCAAAGTTTGGCATTCAGGGATTGTAGTTTAAGGTCTGAGATCGGCATCACATTTGCGTGCCTACCAAAGGAATAGGAAGCACGGAGAGGTGCACTGTTGTCAAGACTTGAAATTTCGCCTCGGGGCTCATGGGAATGCCGAGGTATTCGGCATGGCTTCGCAAATTTGGGAACTTCCACTTCTTCAGCTGCTTCAAGTCCGCTAGCAATTCCTACAAACTGTATATACCCATGAAATTGCTACCCGAAACCCTAAACCCTAAATCCTAAACCCTAAACCCCAATACAACAACCCTGGCTGAAGGACGAGCTTGCCAGCGCATGCTCTGCATTTTTCGACAAGGTAGCTTATGTCACGGCCTCGCCCCAAAATTAAGAAAACTATCTTGAGCTATGGTCTAAACTTGTTAGAAGGGCTATTTAGGGCATTATATAATATAGGGGAGTATGATTGCAGTTATAAGGGGGATACTAGGAGTTTCGACTACAGCTCAGATTAGCCCTAACCATAAACCCTTACCCCCCGGCCTAACTAAACCCGAATTCCCGAGCCCTACGCCCCACAAGACGTAAGTGGTGCTTAGGGGCAGCGGGGGCATGAATATAAGGGGATACTTATAGGAATCACCCAACTCTCCCTCAACCCCACATGAACACCAAACCGCCCTAGCCTAAACCCCAAAGCCTAGATCCTAACCCCTAAACCCTACATCCTAAACCCTCAACCCTGAAGCCGAAGTCCTAAACTCTAGAGCCTAAACCCTAAACCCTTAGCCTAAACCCCAAACCCTACGTAAACCCTAAACCCTAACCCCCAAACCCTAAACCCACTAAACCCTTAGAACCAGAAGGAGGAGGTTGACGAGCCTGCCACATCCAGCCAGGCAAGGGCCAGGTTGGTCGCCCTGAAAAACAGAAAGGCTCGGGGTTTAGGGTTTAGGGTTTTAGGGTTTAGGGATTTAGGTTGGTTCGGGGTTTTAGGGTTCTGAGGGTTTAGGGTTTTGAGGGTTTTACGGGTTCTTAAGGCTTTTAAAGTTTTTAGAATCTTTAAGGTATTTAAAACTTTTGGGTTTAGGGCCTTGGGTTTAGGGTTTAGGGCTTAGAGCTTCGGGATGAGGCTTCAGGAGTCAGGAGCTTTTGAATTTGGGGATCCGGGCTTGGAGTTGAGGGTGCCAGGCTGTGGACTTAGGGATCGGAAATTAGGGTTTAGGGGTTGAGGCCCTAAACCTTAAATCCTCTCAACCCTTTCCTTGCGGTAAACCCTAAACCCTAAACCTGGGATGTTTGAGGATCCTCCAGAATTCTACATCCTAGATTTCTACGTCCGCTCCAGTGATTCCGGAAGTCCTGATCCAATACCTTTCTTGAATCGTTAATATGAGGATTACACGGGATTTTTAGTGATGATAATAATCGTAGGAACCAAAATGCAGGCAGCGACAGCAACAGCAGGAGAAGGAGTAGTAGTAGCAGTAGCGGGAATACAAATAGAAGCAATAACAACCCGAGAGCCTAACCCCTTAGATCCCTAAACCTCTAAACCCTCACACCCCTACACCCCTAAACCCTAAATCCCTACACCCTTAAACCCCTAAACCCCTAACCCTGCACACCGAACCCGCACTATAATTTAGGTGGATCCCCCACCCAGTAATAATCACCGAAAGGGGGAAAATGGTAATCATAGCAGCGTCCCTTAAAGCCCTTACAAGGCGAGGGTTCTGGTAACGATTCCCATATACCCCGTCCTCTCCTTAAGGGGGACGAAGATCTCCATATATCCCGTACTCTACTTAAGGGGGAACAAGATCCATGTACCCCATGCTCTACTTAAGGGGTCCACCACCCCAAACCCTAAACCCTTACAACCCTTTGTAGACCAAGGCCGGGGCTGGAAGACAAGCACCAGGGCAAACATGATGGAAGGCCTGGATGACATGTTTTAAGCCTTAGGGGATTTAGGGCTTAGGATTTAGGGCTTAGGATTTACGTTTTCTTTTATAACCAGTGGACTAGGATTAGGGTCTAGGGCCTAGGGTTTAGCGCTTAGATTGCATGGTTTAAGGGCTGAGGGTTGGGCCCGGGACCTGTTCAGAGTTGATAGGTCTCTGAGTAGCCTTCGCAAGGCTCGGGGGAGAGGACAATGCTCTGCAAATGTCCTGGGCCTGAATGACTAGAATAGGGTTGTGGGGCAATGTTGCTAAGTATTCTGCCTTCTGTAACAATAGGCTCAGGGTCGAAGATGCGTGGCTCAGAGTATAACTGCTTGGCTAGCTCTCAGCTCAGGGTAAGTTTCTCCAAAACAAACCGCCATCGCACAGCTTGCGTGCGTTTCCCAAAGTTTGGGGCCATCTGTGGGTATTTGTGGGCACTGGGCACGGCACTTACTGTTTTGGACTTTGGGCGTCGTAATCTTGGAAGCTACTCATATGCATCATGTATACAAGTTTTTGCCACCGGCTTTTCATGAGAATCCAGCTGTCAAAGGAGAGCTTGCAGATCTCATGATGTTGCAGCAGTTATACCTTCCCGCAAAGCCATACGCCCGGTCTCAGATAGCATCCGCCAACCGAAACAAAGTCTCAGATGAATCCAAAACACCTCAATGCTGCGGTCTCCGAACTCTACACTCTACGCTCAAATTCGCAATCATTGAGCCTTGGTCCTAAACACTATTTACCCAAAAATAAAGGCTTCTGAGGTCTCGGCGATCGATACTCCAGTACGGTCAGGCCTGACTAGCTGGCCAGAACAACAACAAGGGGAGCTCCTGCTTTACGGCCTAGAGATCTCTAAGCCGTAGACCGGCCCTAAGCCTCACGGACACCTTTCGTGACCATGAAAAAGCATTTGCAAGACCCTGACTAGCAGAAATCGCATGTTCCACATTCAGGGTCCAGAGATTGTGGTTACTGCATCAGGATGCTAGACTTCGGGTTTACAGCCTTCGGTGTCCAGGGATGTCCAGGGTGAATGCTGCAGGCATCCATAGATCACAAGCCAGTGTAAACAGGGTGCTGTGCTGGCCTTTTTTGTCGGGCGCTGGAAGTCTAAGCGGCATTATTGGAGGATACCTCCTGCGTGTCCTGAAAGAGAGCGGGGTACAGGAAGGAATCCCAAAAGCAGACTCCTGCAAAGATGGCGAGGCCAGCAGGGACCAGGCCGTAGGCAAACAAGTAAAGTGGCCATACGGGTACTCCACGCTTCGCGAGCTTCAAAAGCATTGTGGCTCCAGCTTGAGGGTCCTCGGCTTTCTGCATGTCAGGTACCCTTCGGAGTGCACTGGCCAGGTGAGCACTCACCGGCGCACTGCATACGACAGCAACATCAACATCCGGCACCGAGGACACGGCCACTTGCTGCGCCAGATACATGCTGCGCTCATCAATCAGGACGTCGTGCGCTGCGGGACAGCAACGTTCCAACTCGCGGCGGATCTCGTCGGCATCATAAGGTAGGGCGGGCGACAGCGCGTCACGCTGCTTCCGCAAGGAGAAGCCAGCAAAGGACAGCAGACCTTGGAGCAGCTTCGGATGCCAAAGCCTGTGGGCAACTCGACTCCGAATGGCGGACTGCGGCCGGTCAATGGGAAGAACGGCAGCCCCGACCTTGCGCGCTGCCTCGAGAATTGGCGCCAGCTCATGCTGGAGTAGCCCTCCGTGGACCTTACGCAAGTTTGGAGGCTCCTCTAAACGCGTACATTCGTGGACAAGTTCGAAAGGGTATAACAAAGCTTGAAAAAATCTACCCAAGGGACATTGCCTAGAAGATCCAGTTTCGAAGGCGGCCGCAACGGCAAACCCATCAGCAGTGAGGTCAGAACTCGTCCGTAGCGACGCTGGCACAGCTCCACCATCACCTGAACGCTTCCTCAAACTTAGATCCCAGAATACCTCTAAATGGCAGTTTCCTGAAACAAGGGGAACCCAAAAATAGACCCCAAAACTACTATAATCCTTATTATAGGGGCCCAAAAATGGTACCCTTAATTTTTGGGAAACCTGCAAATACTAGGGTCCTCGTTTTAGGCTTCGGAATGAACCCTGAATCTTGGCAGAAAAGAGGACTGCAAGCCACCCAACCCACGCCCTAAACCACTAAATCCCCAAACCCCCAAAGCCCTTGCGGAAACCCCTATGTATGTAGCCCTGTATAAGCGCTAGACAGCCCCTATAGAATCCCAAGATAATCCTTCTGTTATTCTGACATTCTTTCTCCCTCAGAAGGGACACCCCAAGGCCTGACGGGGCGCCATGGCAGTGATGGCCATGGCCGCTTCCTCGCCACTTCCAGGGCCGCTTAGGCGCCCGTGCCTGGGATTGGTTTAGGATTTAGGGATGTAGGACATGTGAAACTGTAGTCTCCTAAGGGTGCCCCAATATAGACCCCTAAAAAGGTACCCCAAGTTTGGGCAAACTCTCACATGGGTTAAGGGTTCCGGATTGAATGTTCAAGGTTTAGGGTTGGGTACAGGGATGGACAAGAAAATGGAAACTAGCATTTGCAAGTTCTAGAGCTCAGGGTTAAGGGTCCCGGCTACCTCGTGTACCCGACAACCCTAGACCTCACAAGCCTAAAGCCTGAACCTTGAACCCAGAACCCTGAAACGCAACCCTCAAACCTAAAACCGTAAACCCTGAATTTCAAAACCTACAGCCCTTAAACCCTAAACCCTACAAATTTTCACCCTAAACCCTGAACGCTTGAATCTCCAACCCTGAACCCGAAATCCTAAACTCCAACAACCCTGATATTCTTTCCTAAGCCTCACCCAGTAACAGGATGGGAAGGATTGTCAGATTCAGCCGGCTCTGGGTCGCTGTGGGAACCTGGGCAGTTGTCACAGTTTTACGGGGTTTGAGGCTTTAGGGCTTTAGGGGTTTTAGGGATTTATGGAAACCCTAAACCCTGAACCCCAAACCCTAAACCCTAAACATGGGTCTAGGGTTTTACGTGTTAGGGTTCGGGGGCTGAGGTGTAAAGTGAAAAGTGTGGGCATGCTGGATACTTGGCAGATTTTTATCGAGCCGAAGTAGCTTGGGATGGGCCTCCGTGCTATCATACACTGCGAGCCTCAGTGACCTAGGAATAAAAAGAGGTCACTCTTTGTAGTCTAACCTGGTACTTTATGAGGAACCCAGAACCCACGAAGGGGAAAAACGGCCTTTCCAGGATATCGTACGGGGAATGTGCGGGAGTACTAGGATTTAGCTTCTAGCTCCAGTTTGCATGCAAAACCTGAGAAACATTTGGACGACCGCAAAGTTACCTGCCCCAACATCCCTCTAAACTTTAACCCGAAACCCCTAAACCCTGAACCCCCTAGACCCTGAGCCCCCCCAAGACCCCCCAAACCCTGAACCTAAATCCCTGAAACCTAAACCCCCCCCGCCTCTAAGCGAAGCGCTTGCTTAGGCACAGCCCGGCTGGCAGCTGCAGCTACATGTCTGGCGACAGCCGGCATTGGCTCTGAAAATCCCAAAAGGGGGTTTGGGGGTACTTGGGCAGGGCAGAGTCCAGGTGTAGGGTTTCAGGTTTGGGGTGTAGGGTATATGTGTGCGTGTGTGTGAGCATGGGCTGGACCCCAAAGTCGATTAGATCCCCAACGTAACATCGTATACAGTTCTGCGGTAAGCCATTTATGTTGATATACGGGGTCGAAGCTTTGGATATGTTTCATGGGCCTGGGTGAGTCCACTCAGAAAAGTGCTTTTGCTGGCTGTTTTAGGCATCTCCTCAGTCTTAAGCCCTGCATCTGAAGTTGCTGTGAAGGTGTACCTGGCCAACATTTCACAAGCCCGGACGCGTTTGACGGCTAAATGGCAAACAGGCGGTGAGTCTTGCCCAACCTGGGACTACCAAAATCCCTAGCCTTCCCCAGACTAACAAACGTGCCTCCCAAGAACTGTAGGCCTTGCAAGGGAGGGCTACATCGGGTCGTATTGTGAGGAGGTCAGATAGGCAACCCCTGCCGCCTGAACCGTCTAGATCAGACAGCCAGCTATAAGACCCTGAAGCACAAACATGTAGGGTTTCTGGTTTAGGTTCTAGGGACACTAACACCTGCTGGGACTTGGCCTAAATTACTGCTTTCAAAATCGGGGGGAAAATTTACCTAGGGATCTGTATTCAACTAGGAATACCACCATGGGGACCCGCATTATAATGAATTTAAAGACATTGTGACATCAACCTAAACCATAAATCCTGAACCCAAAAACCCTAAATCCTACATCCTAAACCCCACATCCTACACCCTACAACCTGAACCCTAGACCCTTGAACCGAGTTGCCGGCTCCTTGCAAGTCAGGCTTCCCTCACATACTTAGGGACTTTGGATTCAAGGGATCAGCGTTGAAAGAGGGAGTGATATCGAACCCTGACCCAAACTCCGAATAATCCTGGGTATATAGCGATATGTATGTATTATATATTGTCTATACATAAACAGATGGCAGCTTCTCAACCTTGCCCCGAAAGAATCCTCAGAGCAAATCCTTATCTCTCCTGGGAGTCCTTGAGGGTCCCTGCTTTTCAGAAAAACCCAGATGTTCCCATAAGTTCTCTTTCCTCAGAGCAAGCCGTCCCTTCTGAATGGGCGCCGCGCCGATGACGTAGTAGGACATGGTCATGCAGATGTGATTCACGCCCAAGGACATAGAAACCTTGGGCTGAGGAGCTCCACGGGATGCGTACGGAATATCCTATGTTACCCTAGAAGCCCAGGTACCTATATATTGGGTTCCTGTCCTTGGGCCTGTAGCCCAAGAACCTACTATATGGGTACCTGGGCTTCTAGGGTTATATGGGCTATAGTCAATAATATAAACTTCCGAGATCCCCCGATATAACCCCTATAGTAGTCCCCTGCTAAGGAGGTTAGACTATAGCTCATATAGCTATGAAAAAGGTTTGGGGGTTTGGGTTTCGAACATGATCTTCCAAACTGACATGGGATTTCCCAAAAGGCTTTGTAAACACTACAATGATCCTGTTGGAGCCTTCGGGGAGGACTTTGCACTAGGGGGTCTCGCAGCATGGCAACAACACTGGAACCGGCATGGCGTCGACGTACCAAGAAACAAAATCAAAGCACACCTGGGTCAGAACTGGGGTCAGCATGAAAACTGTTGATTGTGCTCTGGGAATGGCTTACGGGCCACCTCTACGGACCTTCTGAGGTGCAGATTTGTTTTGGGGGGCCTGCCCTCAGCACCAACTCCACAATGTGGTCCTCATGCACCTCCCTTTATTAAGCTCAAAAACGCCAAAGCTCACTTGGAGGGTCAAGGAGACCTAGTAAGTATACTTAGAACCCCTAAACCCACATAATAACCACAGTTATCCCCAGTATTAGCCTCTTACTCAGTCCCCCTGACCCTCCAAGTATCGGAAGCCCTTCCAAGGGCCCAGCCCGCGCGTAAGCGTCGTAGCACTGCCATTTGGCCTGGAGCCTTAGCTGCTCAAACCATCACATGCCAGCAACGCTGATGACTCGATACCTACCTTTGGTTAGCTGGGAATGAAGGCACGGAAAAGAAAATGGAAACTACTGTAATGGGCTATGCAGGGACTACTGTAAGGCTAACCAAAGGTAGGGATAGAGTTCATCATTGTCACCACCATGACATTCGTTGTCTTGGCGGTGGTGGTGGCAGTGGTGGTGGTGGCAGTGGTGGTTGTGGAGGCAGCGGCGACGGCGGAGTATTGACTCCGTCACTAAGGCACCTGCTCTAATGAAGCCTCAGTCAGTCAAGCTTTACGCCCCTGTACCTCTCAAACCATAGGCCCCTAACTAGACCCGAAACCCTTCGAACCTCAGACGGGAGTTTCTCAAAGTCCCAGCCAGACACCCCTTCATCCCTACGCAACCCCAAAGTAACCCTCTATAGCCCCTTTGCAACTCCTAGTACCCTTCAGCAAATTCCTAAACCCTAAACCTCCAAACTCACTGGTTCTTAGAAGGGTATACGGGAATATATTCTATAGGTTTTCCCTTATTCCCCGCTAAGAACCAGTGAGCAAAAACCCTGCACCCTCAACCATAAACCCTAAACCCTAGACCCTAAACCCTGGACCCTAGACCCTAAACCCTTAACCTAGACCCTAGACCCTAAACC